GATCAAACCCGGTGCCATAAAAATGATCCTATTAGCACGGTAAAAGTTGTAGGGCAAGTTGTTGTTTTTTTATGTGTTAATAAATAGTGTTTTTTGTTTTTTTTGTTTCATGGTTAATAAAAGTGACGTGACAGCACTTGAAACTCAACAATTAGTGTTGTCTTTTTCGGTAAATATCCAAGTGTTTTCAAGTTAACTACCTCTGTCACACACTCCTAATCAGAAGTTATCTTTTTATTCTCAGGCATGGCATGAACTTAATTTTCAAGGCAGAAAAAGATTCAACATCTCTTTCTTTAAAAAGGTGTAGTTCAGAGCAAATGATTGATTCTTTTAATCCCAAAAAGTTTTGCAGCAATTTACAAAGAGAAGTACTAACCACTTTGAAAAAATTTACTTTAAGAGGCTGCATACACAGAGGAAATGGCCAATCAGGGAGCCAGAGTTCCTTAGCATTCCTTGATCACAAGTTAAAAGTAGATCACACACTATGTAACAGTCCGGATTCCAATAAAAGAACCAAATTAACATGCATTCTTGTGGAAATATAAGAAGTATGTTCCCTTATTTAGTCTTCACTGTAAGAAGTTAAAAATAAAAAACACCAGAAGAAGAATTTAGTTAGCCTCATAACATGTAAAAATACCCTATTACTTTTTTACTCTTTTTGGTACCAGAGGTTAGTTAGCGTTATAAAAACTGTGGGGTATTCCTTGGTACCGAAAGAGTTAATGAATTCTGTGTGTGGTTTTCAGGGGGGGGTGGGGGGGGGGGGGGGGGGGGGCATCTTGCATGTTGTGTGAAAGCAAAGATGAACAGCTTCACATCAATGATATGAATATAGTTTAATTCACATCCAGCTTTTAAAGCTCTTTAACAGTTCCCATTATTGTGCAACAAGATTCTCACACTTAAATTGATTACTGTCCAAGTAAGACAGCACTGTCTAAAACCAAGGCTTTTCTACTAAGTTTAGTCAGAGCCAAAATTTTAAAATAGGGATAGTCATCGGCCAGAGGCTGATCCCCCAACATAGAAAGATTTTTTTATAACCTTATTTCATTGCTTTGGCAATGATCCACAGGCCAATTGCTAGGGATCTGCAGGTTGGATTCGACCCAGAGGCATCCAGTTGAAACTGATCTAAATTATTCCCACATCTAAAAATCAGTACTGTCTAGCCACTTTCATATACAAAAATAGAACTGTCTAAGAAACTCTCACATCTTAAATCTGCACCACCTAACCATTTTCACACCTAAAAGTAGCAATGTCTAACCACCCTCACATCTATCGCCAGCACTCCCTAGGCTACTCTCACACTTAAAATCAGCACTGTCTAACCACCCTCACACCTAAAAATCAGTACTGTCTAACCAGCCTCACACCTAAATTCAGCACTGTCTAAGCCACTCTCACACCTAAAATCAGCACTGTCTAACCACCCTCACATCTATCGTCAGCACTCCCTAGGCTACTCTCACACTTAAAATCAGCACTGTCTAACCACCCTCACACCTAAAAATCGGTACTGTCTAACCAGCCTCACACCTAAAATCAGCACTGCCTAAGCCACTCTTGCATCTAAAATTCAGCACTGTCTAAGCCACTCTCACACCTAAAATTCAGCACTGTCTAACCACCCTCACACCTAAAAATCAGCACTGTCCAACTACACTCATATCTAAAATCAGTACTGCCTAAGCCACTCTTGCACCTAAAATCAGCACTGTCTAACCACCCTCACACCTAAAATCAGCACTGTCTAACCACCCTCACACCTAAAATCAGCACTGTCTAACCACCCTCACACCTAAAATCAGCACTGTCTAACCACCCTCACACCTAAAATCAGCACTGTCTAACCACCCTCACACCTAAAATCAGCACTGTCTAACCACCCTCACACCTAAAATCAGCACTGTCTAACCACCCTCACACCTAAAATCAGCACTGTCTAACCACCCTCAAACCTAAAATCAGTACTGTCTAACCACCCTCACACCTAAAATCAGTACTGTCTAACCACCCTCACACCTAAAATCAGTACTGTCTAACCACCCTCAAACCTAAAATCAGCACTGTCTAACCACCCTCACACCTAAAATGAGCGCTGTCTAACCAAAATCTAAAACCAATACTGTCTAAGCCACTTTCACACCTTAGTGACCACTGCATTTGCCACCCTCACACATTAAATCAGCACTACCTAAGCCACTCTTCCACGTAAAATCAGCACTGTCTAACCAGCCTCACACCTAAAATCAGTACTGTCTAACACCCTTTACACCTAAAAATCAATACTGTCTAACCACCCTCACACCTAAAATTAGTACTGTCTAACCACCCTCACACCTAAAATCAGTACTGTCTAACCACCTTTACACCTAAAAATCAGTACTATCTAACCACCATCACACCTAAAAATCAGTACTGTCTAACCAGCCTGACAAATAAAATCAGTACTGTCTAACCACCCTCACACCTAAAATCAGTACTGTCTAACCACCCTCACACCTAAAATCAGTACTGTCTAACCACCCTCACACCTAAAATGAGCGCTGTCTAACCAAAATCTAAAACCAATACTGTCTAAGCCACTTTCACACCTTAGCAACCACTGCATTTGCCACCCTCACACCTAAAATCAGCACTACCTAAGCCACTCTTGCACCTAAAATTCAACACTAAGCCACTCTTGCACCTAAAATCAGTACTGTCTAACCACCTTTACACCTAAAAATCAGTACTGTCTAACCACCCTCACACCTAAAAATCAATACTGTCTAACCACCCTCACACCTAAAAATCAGTACTGTCTAACCACTCTCACATCTAAAATCAGCACTGCCTAAGCCACTCTTGCATTTAAAATCAGCACTGCCTAAGCCACTCTTGCACCTAAGATCAGCACTGTCTAACCAGCCTCACACCTAAAATCAGTACTCTTGCACCTAAAATGAGCATCATCTAACCCAAATCTAAAACCAATACTGTCTAAGCCACTTTCACACCTTAGCAACCACTGCATATGCCACCCTCACTCCTAAATCAGCACTGCCTAAGCCACTCTTGCACCTAAAATTCAGCACTGTCTAAGCTACTCTTGCACCTAAAATGAGCACCGTCTAAGGCAAATCTAAAACCAATACTGTCTAAGCCACTTTCACACCTTAGCGACCACCGCATATGCCACCCTCACACCTAAAATCAGCACTGCCTAAACCACTCTTGCACCTAAAATTCAACACTAAGCCACTCATGCACCTAAATTCAGCACTTTCTAAGCCACTCTTGCACCTAAATTCAGCACTGCCTAAGCCACTCTTGCACCTAAATTCAGCACTGCCTAAGCCACTCTCACACCTAAATTCAGCACTGCCTAAGCCACTCTCACACCTAAATTCAGCACTTTCTAAGCCACTCTTGCACCTAAATTCAGCACTGCCTAAGCCACTCTTGCACCTAAATTCAGCACTGCCTAAGCCACTCTCACACCTAAATTCAGCACTTTCTAAGCCACTCTTGCACCTTAATTCAGCACCGTCTAAGCCACTCTTATATGTACAACCATTACTGTCTAGGTCAGCACCACATTTACATACACATTTTAACTGATCACATGACTATGATATTTTCATGTTCAACACACACATTTATGTATGGTGCTGCAGGGACAGGTTTCAAAATAATGCTTTTTATAACAGCTTTGGTACTGGTTGTAACTAAGTAATATGTAGATATGGTGAGTGTGTTGTGTTTACCCAAAAATATAGATATGATTAGAGAAAAAAAAAAGGGGGGGGGGGGGGAATTTTGTTCTTAAATGCAAACCCCTTCATTACAACATAATTAAGCTCATTATGACATCACTTTAATCTAATTTAACCATGGCTAAGTTAAAAAAAACACAATTTATTATGGTTAAAGGTAAGGAATGCAGTTTATTCTTTGCTATGTTCGTATTGAGTGATTATTCCTTCATTAAAAAAACAAAGTTTGTGTATCCAAAACATCAATATAAATTATTTTACTGATCTGATGGCCAGGATGAAGTTGTGGACTTCACATTTGCCTATCTCCTCTGTAGCCTAGGGTTCGATCACTTGGTTTTTATAAAAACTGCCCGAGTAATTGGCACCTTTCCACTTTTCCAGACAACAGTATTATATTGCGCTATGTGGCGGCATGGGACTCAGCCTATGGTGATGGCGAGTGTGACTAGCAAAACACACCCATGTTAAGAAAAGCCTTTCAAAATTATTTATTTTATTTTTTAAACTTCTCAAGACTCTAAATTTCTTCTGTTGCTTCTTTTTTCTTCTAGTTTCTTAGGGTGGAATGTAAAAGGAGAATTTTTTTTTTTTCGGAATACACCTTTTAAAGTCGCTATTGGTGATAGGCTCAAAGTTCTGAAAGCAAAGCCATATCGCAGAGTAGCTGCAAACAAGAAACACTCCAGCATGAAGCCCTAGGTAGAGCTAAGGGTCACAGACTGAAAAGAGGAAGGTCTTGGATGGCGCAAGCTGAAGACACGATTGGACATGTGTGCAGGCTTGATAAATTAAAGTGAGGAAAGAAGTGGGTCAAAGTGTCCGAGCAAGTTTCAGACGACTTGTGTTTGGTTCTTGTCACTTCAAGTCAATATTGTTAAGATTTTTATGGGGTGAAATTTTTAAGTTTTCACAACTGCCTCACTTTCACTCAGGCAGTTATGATACTAATGGGAAGTTTTTGAACAAACTCCAGTGAATGAAAAACTGAATGAAGAAAACAGGTTAACATTATAAATAGAATGTTCCTGCAGAGGAAAACAGAACAAAAGAAGAAGGAACACACACACAATAAAATTTAAAAAAACACAAGAAATTAATAAGGGACAGAAGTTAATAAAATAAGGTGTGGTATGTGAGATGGTGATGGATAGGAAGGCTTAATGTAAGATGGTTAAAGGTCTACCCTTCATTGTTGGGATTGAGGGCAGAAGACGAATTACTAACCTGTGCAGATGCTCCTCCCTGACTCGATTCTCTTCTCCAGTAGCAATAACTTTGGTGGTTGTAGATGTGATAACTTGTCCATCTTTCATATAGGTACGAGTCTTAGCAATTGTGCGATAGTGGCTTTTGCTTTCCTGAAATATGTTAATAAAATATTACCATTAGTAAAATATTTATGTCATATTCTACATATTAAATCTTTGGCAGAACTGGGTTGAAAAGGTACAAGATAGAAAAAGTTGCAGACAGCCAGGTGACTAGCCAAAGGGTAGAAGGATAGCAAAAGGTTGCACACAGCCAGGGTAAAAATGGTAAAAAGATAGCAAAGGTTGTACAGAAAAAGGGTAACTGACAAAAAAGTAAATAGAAGCAAAGGTTGCACAAAGCCGGATAACTGACCAGAAGGTAGAAGAATAGCAAATTTCGCACTAAGCCGGGTAACTGACCAGAGGATAGAAGGGCAGAAATGGTTGCACACAATCGGGTAAGTGAGCAGAGAGTAGAAGGATAGCAAATGTTGTATACAGTCAAGTAACTGACCAGAGGACAGAAGGGCAGAAATGGTTGTATACAGTCGGGTAAGTGAGCAGAGGGTAGAAGGATAGCAAATGTTGTATACAGTCGGGTAAGTGAGCAGAGGGTAGAAGGATAGCAAAGGTTGTACACAGTCAAGTAACTGACCAGAGGACACAAGGGCAGAAAAGGTTGTACATAGTCGAGTAACTGACCAGAGGGTAGAAGCATAGCAAATGTTGTATACAGTCGGGTAAGTGAGCAGAGGGTAGAAGGATAGCAAATATTGTATACAGTCGGGTAAGTGAGCAGAGGGTAGAAGGATAGCAAATATTGTATACAGGTAAGTGAGCAGAGGGTAGAAGGATAGCAAATGTATACAGTCAGGTAAGTGAGCAGAGGGTAGAAGGATAGCAAAGGTTGCATACAGTCGAGTAAGTGAGCAGAGGGTAGAAGGATAGCAAAGGTTGCATACAGTCGGGTAAGTGAGCAGAGGGTAGAAGCACAGCAAAGGTTGCATACAGTCGGGTAAGTGAGCAGAGGGTAGAAGGATAGCAAAGGTTGTATACAGTCGGGTAAGTGAGCAGAGGGTAAAAGGATAGCAAATGTTGTTTACAGTCGGGTAAGTGAGCAGAGGGTAGAAGGATAGCAAAGGTTGCATACAGTCGGGTAAGTGAGCAGAGGGTAGAAGGATAGCAAATGTTGTATACAGTCGGGTAAGTGAGCAGAGGGTAGAAGGATAGCAAAGGTTGTTTACAGTCGGGTAAGTGAGCAGAGGGTAGAAGGATAGCAAAGGTTGCATACAGTCGGGTAAGTGAGCAGAGAGTAGAAGGATAGCAAAGGTTGCATACAGTCGGGTAAGTGAGCAGAGGGTAGAAGGATAGCAAATGTTGTATACAGTCGGGTAAGTGAGCAGAGGGTAGAAGGACAGCAAAGGTTGTACACAGTTAAGTAACTGACCAGAGGACAGAAAAGGTTATACACAGTCGAGTAACTGACCAGAGGGTAGAAGGATAGCAAATGTTGCATACAGTCGAGTAACTGACCAGAGGGTAGAAGGATAGCAAGGGTTGTATACAGTCAAGTAACTGACCAGAGGGTAGAAGGGCAGAAAAGGTTGTACACAGTCAAGTAACTGACCAGAGGGTAGAAGGGCAGAAAAGGTTGTACACAGTCAAGTAAATGACCAGAGGGTAGAAGGATAGCAAGGGTTGTACACAGTCAAGTAACTGACCAGAGGGTAGAAGGGCAGAAAAGGTTGTGCACAGTCAAGTAACTGACCAGAGGGTAGAAGGGCAGAAAAGGTTGTACACAGTTAAGTAAATGACCAGAGGATAGAAGGGCAGAAAAGGTTGAACACAGTCAAGTAACTGACCAGAGGTTAGAAGGATAGCAAGGGTTGTACACAGTCAAGTAACTGACCAGATGGTAACAGGATAGCAAATTTTTCATACAGTCAAGTAACTGACAGAGGCTAGAAGGATAGTAAGGGTTGCATACAGTCAAGTAACTGACCAGAGGGTAGAATGATAGCAAGGGTTGTACACAGTCAAGTAACTGACCAGAGGGCAGAAAAGGTTGTACACAGTCAAGTAACTGACCAGAGGATAGAAGGGCAGAAAAGGTTGTACCCATCAGAAAAAGTTGTACACAGGTAATTTACCAGAGGGTAGAAGGACAGAAAAAGTTGTACACAACCCATATTAACTGGAATCATTTTATAGTTTTCCCAAAATTTTGTGTGACCTATACCAACCCTGATATCCTCCGACATTGTGGCCACAGCTTCAGGCGAAGGAGCACATTGGAAAGGATACTAGTCTTATCTTAGGAAGAGGAAATTTAACCTCAAAACTTAATAGCTTTGGTTTGCAGCTGATCTAGGAGGGAAACTCCAATAGGCAGACAAAACACTGCTCTCCTGATCCAGCAGCTTCTTCAGCATGCTTTGTTAAAAATGTATTAGTGCAATCTTTTCTCTGCAGTAAATAAGGAAGGCCAAAAGAGAGATCATGCTGCATAAGAATGGACTATGTTGAGCCCAGAGACACAGTGGCTGGAAAAAGTAATGCTGCCTCAGCTGGGATCGATCCAAGATGGTGTCTCGTCGGGACAGTCTAATATTTCAGGGGGTGTAGACAGGCTGCATGCAGTTGTGAGACCTAAGCTGCAGGCAGTCGTAGGACCTTGTCTGCACTATCTCGTGGGACATAGGTGGATTGAGCTTAGGGCCAGTTCTAGATGTTTTAGGGTCATTAAAAGCATCAGAAAGCTGGGGAACCCAGTCTCACCCCTCCTTAAAATGTTGGACTGTCCTGTTACGTCATCTGGGGTAGAATATTACAAAATAACTGAATTAAAATGTTAAAAAAAAAACACTATTCTAAAGTCCCGATGCATTGAAGTCAAAAAAATACTCACGTTTCGTTCCCGGAGATTTCCCTTCTTTTGCCTTTTCTGAACCGGACCTGCATCAGCACTGTTATCCTGTTCATGGCTTTCACCCACACTGTCTACTGTGTTGACGCTGCCAGAGTCCGACTTTTTATCTGAGTCGTCATCCAGGTTGGACACCTCATCACTCATACGAGTCTCAAAGGTGTCTAAATCTGTCTGAGGTACAGCCGCTGGGGAAGTAAGGGAATGTGGAATTACCTGAGTAGGTTCCTGTTTATTGTCCTTCTCAGAAATGTCTTCAATCTCAGGGGTTTCAATAATCTCAACTGTTGTTTCATTATCATTTCTTTCTTGTGTTGCCGGTGTAAGGTCTTTGTCTGCACTTAAAATTCTTGGAGTATCTTCATCAACATCAGCAGCAATGGCATCAGTAACTGTGACAGTATCAGTAACCACAAGATCATCAGTAGCTGCAACATTCTCAGTCATCACTACAGTATCGGTCACCACTCCAGTATCGGTCACCACTACAGCATCAGTAACTACAGCAGTATCAACTTCTGAGACAAGGCCACTATCTTCGCTTGGTGACTCTGCCTTTTCAGGTTGACTTGGTTCTTCAGGTACTGCATATTTTTCTTCTACTGTTTCTTCAATCTTATTTGTGTCTAGCACAGATTCAATATCAGCTTCGATATCATATGGAAGACTCTCACTTAACTCCTCTTCAGCCTCTTCTGGAGCTACATAATCTTTAAAAGTGTCAAATACAACACTGGCAACAGAAGGTTCCACAGAGGTTGACTTCAGAACATCATCAATGATGTTTGACACAATCTCAGCAGCGACTTCTTCCCCACATAAAACATCTACAGCTGCTGTTGCCTCATCAGTCAACTCTGATGTTGCTTCAGTTCCTTGTTGCTCACTTGTCTTAGCCGGGCTTGCTACCTGAAATCCAGGCAAAATAAATGAATTAAATACTTGAACAATTCGTTTCATATTGATATGAAACAAGTTTTAAGAAAAAACAGTGCCATTAGTTCTTAAGTTAAGGCAGGGAGGTCGTTCAGCCTGAGGAAGGGTCATATGGCTAATGCTGTCACCACAGACTGTGCAGTTTAGGATTTTATTTTTTTCCTGGACACCAAAAATTCATTATCATTAAGTGCCTTTCCAGCTGGCATAGGCGTTGGTGCATCTCCACAGATCTCAGTCTTTGGTGTTCTACGTCAATTCCACTGATGATATTCCTCAATGCCACTGTCTTAAGCCATCCATCATCATTTCTTTTTTTTTTTGTTCTGCCTCTTCTACCAGTGACTTTTTCAGTCGTCACGATATTTTCCAGTGCCCTTTTTTTCCTGCCTCTTCTACCAGTGACCTTTTCAGTCATCACAATATTTTCTAGTGCTCTTTTTCTCATTACATGACTAAAAAACTTTGTACCCTTCCCACTGTTGTATATAAGCGTTCTACTTTCCTTAGCCATTTCCAGGTAATCATTGTTAGTTATTCTGGCACTCCAAGATATTCGCAACATTCTTCTCAAGAACCATATGATACTCTCACTTAATATAGAATCAAAGTCTCATCATGTCACCTTTAGACATGCTAGACATATGATGCTAATCTCACTGTTTCATAGACTAACAGGTGCTCAAAGGACTATGTTGTCAATATTATTCCAGCTGCCTTTATATCAAACAACATTTTTATATACTCAGTTAAGGCTGGGCAAACCTGGTAGTCCAGGATAATTTTTTTTAATTCACCATGATGAGGGTTCGAGCATATAACCACTGGGCCGGCAGGCAAACTAGTCACTGTGCTATCATAGCTCCAGTTAACATAAATATTTCTTGGCTGTTTGTGCTTTTACTGAGTAAATTTTACATTCAGTAGTCTGTCAATGCTTCATCGATGCCAGAAACTAATGCCAGTGTCAAAACCAAAGCAAAGAAGTCTGTTATCAAATCGCCTGGAGTTAAATCGAATTAGGTATTTTAAAATTATGAAACTAAATCTATAGTCCCAAAGACCCCCCCCCCCCCCCCCCCCCCACCTGACAATACACACATAAGCACAGGCACACACACTAATTGCTCCCATTTCACTGCTGGTTCAGGTGTATTACACGCCTTGAAATGCTGAATGTTGAATCAACATCACAGCACTCAGGACACTTCTATCAGCGCTCCGTCACCATCTTCAGCAGCAAGCAGATAGTTCCAATTCTGACAGGACCAGTAACTGTCTGATTGCATATCAGTATTGCTTTCCACTCGAGTGCTGAGTGTCGCCCAGACCCCTTGGTAACTCCCTGCAGCACCATTCTCCTCAGACCCTTATGATCTATTTGTGCCTCTGCACTGTTCACTATCTCCCAAAGGGCCCTAACAACATCTAGCTTATCATACATCATTTAACCACCAAGTGGTGTAGAACTGACCAGTATATCTGCCTGCTCATTTCCCTCAACACCGGCATCACCTGGAGAAAATATCACGACTAACTGGAACCACCATATACAGTTGTTTGCCACTTTGCACGGAGCATGCCTGTCTCCACCTTTCTCAACATGCTCCATGAGTCAGTTACAATCACAGCATGTGTGTACAGCTGATTCTTAAGCCAGCAGAAGGCAGCAGTGACTGCCTCCACCTCCATTCTCAAACTAGATGTTGTGAAATCATATGCCAGACCTTGTTGCACTAAGCGACGTTTATTTGCTTTTGCTATGTACCCCAATGCATTTTCATCTGTCCCTCAATACACAGCCCTGAAAATGATATGAAATGACACTTTTTGTATGGGTGTCTAGCCGGTGGTGCTGTTTTCGAAAACAGAGTCTTACGACGAATCTTTGGACCCATCAAAAATGCAAACAGCGGTTAATGGAGATTGAAAAGCAATAATAACATTCATAATCTGTTTAAATCGCCACTAATCACTAGCATCATGAGAGCTAATAGACTAAAATGGTTGGGGCATATTAAAAGAATGTTAGATGACAGAGAAGTAAAAACTGTATACACAAGGGAGATGAATGGTCATAGACTAGGAGGCAGACCAAGAAGAATATGGAGAGATAATGTCTAGACAGACTTAAAAACACTTGGTGTCACCTACTGGAAAGAGAAGGCCAATCAGAGATGAATGGAGGTGGGTGATATCTGCAGCAATGAACCTCAAGGGCTCGAAATGCTGAAGAAGAAGAAGCTAGTGATGCATCCAAATACACTTGTTCCTGGAGTGAGTAGCTGCTCTCAGCTGATGGTGACAGTTTGATTCATGGAGTGAAACTACAACTTTTGATTTCTGTGGTGTCTGGTGTGTCCTGTCTGCTTATTTTGTTTTTCTGCAGCTATAAGTGTCAATAATTACAATCTGTTTTTAATGCTGTTAAACTGCCTCAAGAATCTCCAAAGATATATTTCTGTGTAAGACTTTAAGAGATTTTAACATTTTTTATTGATCATGTAGACTTTGTTTTTGCAAGTAAATATTATGACAATTAGATAAATTAAAACCTAGTGTTTTGTGTTGCTATTCTAGTGATTAGATTTAAGACCACCCATTTTCCAATCACAGTATGCTATCTAGGACAGGCTAGCTCCTTAGGTAATGGTTGAACTTGGCCAATTCAAACTGATGATGATGATAAGGACGATTCACACTAGTTTGTTGTCCATTTACTGAATTATCCCTTTCACTCCATGAATGCCTTAACAAAAGGGGTAAAGAACCCATGGGAATTCCTTAGAAAATCCCTTGGGGAAAAAAAAACAATTTTACACATGGCACAACAAAAATGCCTTATCTACATCGTTTTTTTTTTTTTTTTTTTTTTAAATATATAAAGATAAATAAAAGGGGTAATCAATAAACAAGAACGGAGTGAAGTATTAAATGAAATACATTTCCTGGGGTCTAAAAACAATATGTATCTGTTAACTCATGCCATGACCACATAACAATTATCACTGAGGCCTATGGGAAAATTTGACATCAACGTGCCTTTGAAAAAGAAACTACTGAAGTCTCTCACAGCAAATGTCTTATGGTGTAAATACTGACTTTTCCAGCAGCACACAGACTGCACACATCATACTCTTCCATGAAACTGAAAGACTTTACCACACTGCTTTGTTGTCAAAACTACACTTACCAGGCTGGTTTCTGAACTATCAGAGCTAGACTTCTCATCCCCACTAGCACCAATTCCCTCATCTAATGATATAGTGGTCTTGTCTGCATCAACGCTTCTTGCCTCCACTTCAGCAACTACTGGTGCTTCTGCCGGGGCTGTAATCTTGGTCTCTGATGGCGATGGTTCTTCAATGTGCTGCTGAGGCTGTTCAATTGCTTCTTTCTTGGGTTCCTCCTTCAGAGGTTGTGGCTGAGGCACTTTAACACGCTCCTCTAGTTCTTCACTCTGAAAATAACAAAATGATCACTTATATAATATGTGATTTATAAGATTTCTATAGAAATCAATTATGTAATAACAGCTTATCAAATTAATCGTGTAATCTCAGGATCTCATCTCCAATATATTTAGAGGCAATCAATGATGTAACACAAGATTCTCAAAGAAACAGGTAGTTTGTGAAGCAGCAGTGGTGCAAACATAAAAAACTCACCTACAGTCATAGATGTCCCCAAAAAGACTTCTAATTATTTGTTTTTTACTATTCTCAGACGAATAAATTAATTATTTGAAAGTCTTACCTTTTCCTTCTCATCACTTGCTAAGGAGATGCTGTCTAAGTCAATGGAATGAGAATCACTACTCATATTCCTCTGAAAACAAAAATTAGACAATACATTTTAAAATAAACACTCTTCCTCACATTTTCCAAGGGAAATAAATGAAACTTAAGATATGAATCTATCTAATAAACACAAATGACAGGAAGAGGTGTTGACAAGAACAATATGAACCCCCTAAAAAATATTTTAAAAACCAAATCTGTTTTTTTTTTTAAAAACTTTCTCGTGTTTGTGCTCATTTATTGCTGTGATGTAGAACTAAAGTTGTTTAATTCTTTGGAAAAGACATGATTGAAACATTTGGTTGTATCTGTGTGCATCTTCATTTCATAATCCTTACCTACATGAGACTGCAGGTTACACTGGACTTCTGTGGCTGTTTATGAGTGCCCTTTTGACCTCCCTGGCAGACAAAATGGGCATTTGGGCTTGCCTTGTTGGTCTGCCATCAATCCTGAGTCCCATAGTGTCAAACCTTCAGATCTGACTGCCAGTCATCCAGACTGAGACCTTCTCTCAGGGTGTCAAACCTATAAGGTAGCAGCTTAGAGGGGATAAACCTAATGTTTACATGTTCTTTTTCCTTTACTGAAGTTCCTGGTCATATTCTGTGATGTATGTTTTCCCTTCAATGAGATTCCTGGTCAAATTCAATGTTGTATGTACAATGTGTTGTATGCACACTGTGTTGTATGCACACTGTGTTGTATCTAGACTGTGTTGTATGCACACTGTGTTGTACCTAGACTGTGTTGTATGAACACTGTGTTGTATGTACACTGTGTCGTATGAACACTGTGTTGTATGTACACTGTGTTATATGTACACTGTGTTGTATGTAATTTAATTCTTGGTATCAGCTCGACTGCAGACCCCCCCCCCCCTTCCCCCCATTTCTTTAATACAGTAAAACCTTGTAAGCACAATTTCCGAAAGACTGAAAATTGAGTTCAAATTTTAAAAAAAATGTTCTCTACTGAGGGATAGAAGGCAGAAGAAGAAAACAATACACAGACATATTACCACTTTTATGTTTCTTCAAAAGAAGACTAATATCACTAAGGCACGTTTTGTCACAACTACTTCACTCAACGTCACACGAAACTCTTTCACATCAGACATGTCCTACCTTTATAGCTAAAATGTCCTCCTCCTCTGTGAGGTCTTCCACTATTTCCACTACTTCAGCTTTAGCTTCACAGATCAGATCAAGAATACCCTTTTTGTCTTCATATCCTTTAATAAATGGATGCTGTAGGGAAGAAAATGTAGCAAGACAGATAATGTAGGGGTACAATGTTGCAAGACAGATAATATAGGGTTACAATGTTGCAAGACACATAATTAGCATGTTTCAAAACACATATTTTGACATACATTTATACATCATCATCATCAAAAGTTTTGCTGACTGGCATAGGCGATCATGCCTCTCCATAACTTGCGATCTCCAGCATGCATCAGGTTGTGCACTGATACCCCTCCATGCCAAGACTTAAGGCTGTCAAGAATATTCTCACGTTGACTTCCTCTATCTCTCTTTCAACACACAAACACACACACACATAAAAAGACTTTGTCCCTAAAATGGAGGATAGGCTTGGCAGAATGTTAAGCTTTAAAGTTTTTGTTTGCTTCTGACAGTGCTTTGCAAATGCAGTTTCCACAATAAGAATGGTAGTCTACGGTTTCGCTGCCTGCGCTACTGAGTTTAGTGCTTGAGGCAGCCTTGTAAACTTTGTTTTTACACTGGAATGCCTTTCATTAGTGTAGTGGTTGTGTCGTGATGTTCAATATGGCCGGTAGCGGGTCAACGTGTGAGCTGGTGAAATACATTATGTAATAATTCTGTTCAGACACTAATTATTTGTTCTCTGGTTTTTCAAATGAGACAGTGAGGGACATTTTGTTCGCTTTATAAGTATGGGGAAACCTGACTGCAGTGAAGTTGAAACCTCGACTATGAATAAGCTCTTCTGAAGCCAAAATAACTTAAAACTGTCCAGTAAGCCTCAGTGATAGCGGTTACAGGGTCACAGAAGGAGTCACCTGCTACATATTTGTTTTAGGCATATAAGAGAATGCATTTTATTTAAGGCTTCACTCTGTTCTTGTTTACTGACTACTCCCTTTATATATATTTACATATTCTGAAACAAAACTCTACAATGCAGATAAATATATTTGTAAACAATTTTTTTAGTTTTCTATGTAAAAAATCTTTTTTTTTTTTTTTATTTTTTTTTTTAAGTTTTTCCTCAAAACTCCCACGTTTATGCCTCATTTTTTTTCTAGCAAGGGTTAAGACAACAAAATAATCGACATTACCTGCAAGAGCTCCTGAGCTGTGGGTCTCTGTTCAGGACTCTTGACCAAACATTTCTGAACAAAGTCTCTGAAATTCTTAGACCTTAGGAAAAATAAGATAACTGGTATTTTTTAAAAATGTCAGTAAAATTTTCTCAGAAAGCTTTTAATGTATTTTCACTACAACATAGAGGACTGGCCCACTAACAGTACCATTTCTTGGATGCTGAAATACTTCAGCCATATTAAACACCATGATGCGGGGAAGAGTAATCTGGTAATCGTACTTCCAACTTCATGAAAACGGGTCACCCAAAAGTTTTTTCTGCTCCTGTGCCAACGACAACCACACAGAATGCCCATCACTGTTCCTGTTCCTTGTGAAACAACTGATGCAGAAAGTCTATAAGAAAGGCCATAAAACAAATTTTAAGCAAAAAGTCCCAGTTTTGAGCATTTTCATCTTTAGAAGAAATTAACATTTTATGCAGTAAGTCCCTGTCATTTGAAGTTAGAAAAAAGTCATTCTAAATTTCATTTAAAAAACATTCAGTTTCGATAATCCTTTCATCATCCCTGGAGCTACTGAATTTCCTGCTTTGTGCAATGCTTTCAGTGAGCAAACATCCACTTTGTAGAGACAAAGCCATACAGGTGAAAGCTTGGTGCAATAAAAGCGGATCCTCTCCACTTTAAACATCTTTCATCATATTCTTTTTACTTACTGTCTTAGTGTGTACACTGACTTGTGGCTCTGTTTGTTTGTTTTAGTATCTAGAAGCCATGAGTTGTTAACCCTTAGGCTCGGTATTATGGATATCGCAACCTTTCGGCCTTGATTCCATGATAAATACCGTAAATCTGGGAGAAATGTGGCTTTTCTGCCTACCCCCGGGAGTAAACCCGGACCACAAGGAGTTCGTCACCCAGTCATCTCGCAATCCGGTTTAGCCAACTACGCTAGAGATATTTAATTTCCCCATCCTGGTGAACCATGGTTTTATATAAGGGCAAGCCATTTAGAAAAAGACAGGCATCTTGGCTATCAGACAATAGCGTGAGAGTCACAATGTGGAAGAGATTGTGTCCTTACTGTGATATAATCTCAAAGACACCAGTCATATACAGATCCACTGCAGCTATGGATCAGTTGTGTCGATGGCACAAAATGTAGTAAATCTGGGTTTGGGGGTGGCAGAATTATAATCTCCCATGGTTTACTAATCTACAATTTTAAAAAGTTTACCATTTAGAAGGTTTGTCAAATCCTGGCGGGTCCGACTTCTGGATTTTTATTAAGACTCTCATTGGATGCATTTCTTTGTTAGGTGGCTCAATCTGGGCAAACTCAATAAGTGTAATACCTGAAAAAGTTTTAAAGTTTTGTGTTAATGATATAACCAACTCATTCCTGTCTTCTTGGTGGTTAACTGTTTGAATCAACATCAAGACAGACTTTTAAGACAAGTGGGTGTTCAGGTTAGCCTAAAATGAGTATCAGAAAAATGTCCTGGAAAAAAAATGTGGCTAGAATGGTGCTGTTGTGCCAATTTGTCTTTAAAATTAACATGACATGGACATTTAGGCAACCATTAAAGAGTATTAGCAAATACACTGACTTGACTTGATAACAACATGAGATACATTATATATTACTTTAAACACAGTAAAATTCATGAGAAAGTATACGATTTCTGAGAAACAACTTCTATTTTGTAGACATGCATATAGATTTAGTTGAGTCACCCTGTGCTTGAGAGCTCAAGAGGTGGAAAGGTTGGCAAATGGTTTCCCAACCTACTGTAATAAGAGCTACACTGATGATGATGATGTGCTCCTGAATATAATATTCAAACAACAGGTGCACTGAAGGAGAATTAATTCACCTTCAGTGGGTGCATGCTGGAAGACTTTCCAACAAGGTGAAATGAACTAAACAATCATATCTTCAACCAAGTATTATACGAGGAAATTACCAGTTTACAACACAGCAAACACACAGAAATCACAGTCACGATTACAATATTATTACAACAATAATACAATTAGGACACGGAAAATCAACAAAAGCCACATGAGTACTGCCAATGGAATTTAGAAGGAGAAAGCTAAAATAAAAACAAAATGAGATGGAGATCTACTTTCTCCATTCTACCAAGCCCATTATATCAAGGGTATGGGTGGCAGGTGTTCAGTCACCTGTGACAGATGTGCATCTCTTGCTTGACAATGAATGAATGAATCAAGAATTTACATTACTGCACTCATGACATTCCCACACATGCTCAGTCTCCTTCCTCAGGAGCCAACAAAGAGTTGACATACTAAAAGTACCAGGTGCAACCTGATTAAACATCCATTATGTTTCCTCCAGTATCAAATATTTTCCAGAACCTCTGCTCTCCCGCTGAACTGGTCTTTTAAGGTGGTTTTGTAAGGATGACATATACTTAATGTTTTATTATCATTTCCTACCTTTTCTCTTAACTGAGAGAGCTTACTGTCACAGTAACCGCCATGCGGCGCTAAATCCTCTGGCTCAGGACCCCCTGTCTACACCGACCTAGAAAGGTGGTATACCAGACTGTTGTGACATTATATTAGTTGTGGTGGTGGTGGTAGCAGTTGTACTGGTACTTGATGGATGATGTGGTTAATATTACATTGACCGTTTTTACGTCTCATTACCATTCATGTTAACCATTTTAGTCTGGGTGAACACAGAAGCCACGGTCAATTACAAAAAATGTCGCCACGTGGTGATTTTCAAATCCTTCAGAGAGGGAGAGACAGAAGTAGTCGGTGAATTGGGAGGGGGCAGGGGGCTATTAACTAGGACAGCTTAACACACGATTTTCAAATTTTTATTTCTTATTTTGTATTTTACTTACACTACATCAGCAATTCAAATTTTTTTTTTAGAATTTTGTTGCTTATTTACAAATAGTAAGCTTTTTTTTTTTTTTGGCAGCTCTTTAAAAAAATACTAACAGATTTAGTATGTTATAGAGAAATATCTTCTTTTTTTTTTTTTTTGGGGGGGGGGGGGGGGGGTGTCTCCTAAAAACACAATTTAAACGACCACTAATATAAAGTCACAATTATATGTTGCGTGTTCTAGAGTCTGCCAACCAGACTATCACCTTATCTGTACAGATAATGATTGTGAAATTAACTATAATAGACCCGTGCAATTTCTATTTTCTTTCTTTGCCATTTAGCCAAACTAAGCCACAGCACTGCGTGGCCGGGTACAGCTAGTGTGTGTGTGTGTGTATATATATATATATATATATGTGTGTGTGTGTGTATATATATATATATATGTGTGTATATATATATATGTGTATGTGTGTGTATGTTTTTATTTTTGTTTGAGTCTTCACTAATGCAAAGGGTTTTTTGCACTCTGCTGCGATTCTCCTTGTGTGATTTTTTTTATTTCTATCAACAACTCTCTTTTTGTTGCCAGTCTCTCAATACTGTATTTTACTGTACTGGTTTCCAAAAAATACAAACTTCTTCTTAATTCACCTATAAAAAGGAGCTGATCTGTGAAGTGATTTTTGCTTCTAGCAATGGTTTTATATTGCATCTTCCGCATGTGGACTGGAGTCTAGTTTCGCTGCCTAAGCTACTGAGTTTAGTACTTGGTGCAGCACTGTGAGCTGTGTTGTATGTTGTATGGAATCTTAATGCTGACGCATGTTTTTAGATTTTGCCAGGACTAATTGTCTGTTCACCAGTTTTTAAAAATGGGACAGCAAAGGAAATTCCATGTAATTTCAAATGGCACAGGAATAAAGCAATTACATGATGACCCATTTGCAGTTAAATTAAAACCTCAACTTTTACTGCTGCACACCTAATATAAATGATTTTGCTAAACAATACATTTTTAACCTAACCTTCTTTTACACTAACTAACCAGCACAAGCTTAAGTCAACATCTGTGCCTTAGGAGCTGCTAACACAATTTGTAATGCCGGGTTCGATCCCAGCTGCAAACGATTTGTCTTGCGTTGGTTTCGACAGTGGTACCAAGAGCTGTACTTTCATAAAGGAATGGCCAACTACTGAATGCAGAATGCAAAATTTGCCTAGAAACAGCCAAAAGATGCTGGGTTTGGTTCAACATCCAGTAAAGGATACACAACTACCTTAACTCATTTACCATCCAATCCCCCACTCTGCTGACTGGTCTAAAGCATCATATACCCGATATGCCACTGGTGTGGAAAGGGTCCTTTCGTTGATTATCTATGTGCTAACATAAACTTCCTGTTTTACTAACATAAACATACTCATATAAACTGTGTACTTCACTAACCAGTATACACTCAACATAATTTTGGTGTTTTACTAACAAGAATACACTTAACATAAACTGTGCTGTACCAACAAGTATTCACTTAACATGATCTGTGTTGTACTAACCAGTAAGGAGTTCCAATAAAAGTATCCCTCCGTTGATGAGTCTTGGTGTTTTTGGCAGACACTCCAAAATCAGCTGACCAAAAAGAAAAACAATAATAGACAAATTAAATTTAAATGACATATAATGCAGCTAATTTTATCAAGAACAAAACAAACTGATCTTGTGTAATGCACAAAACAAGAATCAAAAATTATATAATGGTTAACAAAGCCATATGAAAATATTGCTGTTATGGTGTGAAATGTGACAAGGACCCTATTATCATAGGTGTTTAAAAAAAAAGACTTTAACTGAAATAATTATAAATAAATCTCTACTATTTCATTCATAATCATCAAGTGTCTTGTCGTGTGGCATGGGTAGTTGTAACAATAGTTGTAAAAGATAAAGATTGTTTGTTGGTGGAACAGACAATACAAAGGAACTTGTGTAGAACTGATAAGAAATGTCATCATCATGTTCCATGTGAGGTATTCCAGTTGATCTTTATCTTTTACAACTATCTATCTTCTGGGCTACTAATAAGTTTAACCATGAAATGTATCCTATACTTGTCTACTAAAACCATCCTGCATTTTCTTCTTCTGTTGACCTCTACGTTTAATATCCTTGACCTTCTCAGTTTCACAACTTTCTCCAGACATAAAGACAGTCGCACCAAGAAAAAACATGCAGCAAAGAAACTCGGGCAAAGATGAGTAATATGGGACAAATAAAGAAAATACATGGAAGAGGGACAAATAAAGAAAACATATGGAGGAGGGACAAATAAAGAAAATACATGGAAGAGGGACAAATAAAGAAAATACATTGAAGAGGGACAAATAAAGAAAATACAGGCAGTGGAGCACATCAGCTGTTCCCTTTGTGAGTCTCTGGGTGAAAAGGGCGCACTCAGGTGGCAAGTCCTCTGACCTGGTAAACCTTTCTACAGTCAAGACCATTGTGAGTGACCAAAAAAGCATATCCTTCAAGAGGTGACCTCATTAACCAAGACCTCATGGTCCTGGCACAAAACACAAGGGATCTAGAGGAGACAGTCTTGATGATAAAACAATTTTAAAAAACCAAGCCTAAAGTGGATCTACATGCTCACAGGCTGATGGGCTGTGGGATAAGCAGTTGTAAACTTGGATGTCTGGTTAGCGGGTGGGACGTCGCCAAGTATATGGACCCCACAAGGTTGTTGTTGTTGTTATCGATCCAGCGGCGCATGAGCTTTCGCCCTTTGGCCCAATGCCATGTAGTGGAATTTGCATGTTTTCACAAGCTGTTCTTTTCCTCCGTACAAGGTGTTCCACTTGTCTGGTCTCGGAGGGAGTAGCGTTCTTCTTGTCTCACTGAGTTTTGGGCACTCAAAGAGATGGTGTTCAACAGTTTCGTAGGGATAGTTACATAGCTGGCACTCTGGGGAGTGTTGTGGCTGTATTCTGTTTAGGTGTCCATTGAGTGGAGTATGTTGCGTTCTAAGTCTGAAGATGGTGGCCTGGTCCCTTCTTGTTAGATGGTTAATGCTGTCATTAGGATCAGGGCCAGACATATGTCTATAAACCTCTCTTCCAGTGTCTCCCATGGCCCATCTGTTCAACCAAGTCTCTTTGTTTATAGCTCTTATCAGTGTTTTTGCTGTCTGGAGGGTTGTCGCTGTAGGTGGTTGTTCTTGTGTTGCTCCTCTCTTTGCCAATCTGTCAGCTCTGTCATTACCTGGTGTGCCGGAGTGACCTGGAATCCACTGCATCACTATTCTGATGTTGTATGAGGTAATAAGCTGATCGGCATCCAGGATTATCTTGGCTATGTCAGTTCTGCAGCGTTCATTGCCCTCCAGAGCTTGAAGGGCAGACATTGAATCTGTGAAGATGACAATATTTTGGACCTTTGAGGGGTAAACATCCATTACAGTCTTTAGGTGGTATACTGCTGTTTCCAGTGCAATTATTTCAGCTTCATAGTTTGAACAGAATTCCCCGCATGCATCAAAAATCTCTTCAACAGATCCATCGGGATAACCTATGTAGATTCCGTAACCTGCTTTAATGGTAGCTTTAAATGCTGATCCATCAGTATAGACATGTATCCATTCTTGGGGTAAAGAATCAACGGTCTTTAGGATGAGTTCATAAGAGCGATTGGGTCGGACTGTTTGGTTTCCTCGCCTACCAATTTAGTTTGGACTTCTGGAGCTTTAAAGCGAGCATGTGGTGGTAGGTTTCTTGCAACATTCTGAATTCCTTGACGTCTTTGTGGGAGGTGGTATCTGTCCTGAATTTCATTAACACAGTGTAAAACCGATTTGTGCTTTATTCTTTGTTTGGATTCCCAGTTTTCTACAAGATGTCTATTAGGATGGTTACGATTTTTCCTAACGCATCTTTCATAAATTTATAAAGTGGCTTTTTCTCTCCGCAACCCGAGGGGTTCCACATTTGTATGGATTTCACATGCAGCAGTTGGTGTAGACTGCATAGCTCCGCAGATTAATCGGAGGGCATTATTTTGTACTCTGTCAAGAGTCTCTAGATTAGTTTTGGAACAAGTTGTAAGCAGTGAGTTGTTGTACTCTATCACAGAGCGAACATATCCTAGGTATAAGCCCCTCAGAGTTTCCTTGTCTGATCCCCATGATGTACCTGCAAGTCTCTTTAATAACTGTAACCGCCTCAATGCCTTATTCCTGATGTTTTCAATATGGTTCTTGAGGCTGAGCTGCGGGTCAAGTGTGACTCCAAGGTATGTGGGATGCTCTTCTTTCATCACTTGGTGTTTGTCTAACCTCAGGTTAATATTCTTCCTTGCTACTTGGTGGCTTTTGGTAAAGATTGTGTAGACCGTCTTTGCACAGTTAATCTTGAGTTTCCATCTTTGGCAGTAATCATGCAGTCTTCTAAGGTCTCCATTCAGTCTTTGGGCTCCACTTTCCACATTTTCATGACTCTGCCATATTGCTAGGTCATCAGCGTACAAGGCTTTTTCGGCCTTGATTTGTTCTGGCAGGTCATTGATAAAGATTAGGAATAGTGTACAGCTCAATGATGAGCCTTGTGGCAAGCCCTCCTCCAAGACTTCTTTAGAAGAGATTGCGTTGTGCATCTTAGTCTGGATTGTTCTATCTATCAGGAAGTATTTCACCCAGTTATACAATCTGCCATGTATTCCTATGCTCATCATCTTCATCAGGAGACCTTTTCTCCATACTCTGTCATAGGCCTGCTGGAGGTCGACAAAGACTGCCACTGTGTGTTTCTTATTCTGGAAGCCATCATGTATTCTTTGTGTCAGTCTGAACAGCTGGTCTTCTGTGCAGCTGTTGGTTCTGAAGCCTGCCTGTTCATGGCATAGAACACCAGAACTCTCAAGGAACCAATATAAGCGCCTGTTTATCATTCTTTCTGCAACTTTGCCCAAGCATGATGTTAAGGATATCGGGCGGTAGCTTTTGGGGTCATCTGGAGGCTTTTTGTTTTTAAGGATGGGGACGATATATGCATTCCTCCATGCCCTTGGAAGTTTGCTTGACCTCCAAGTTTTATTAATAAGCCTGAGAACTACTTCTCTCCCAGACCGGCCAAGATGTAGCAGCATTTCGTTGTGGATCTTATCTGGGCCTGGAGATTTTCTAGGTTTTAATTTCTTCAGGGCTTGCTCTAATTCATCCATGCTAAATTCATTTTCAAAAAGGGAGTCGCTGGCTGTTGGAGCTCTCTCTTGTTTCTTCAACTGAGAGAGCTGTGTTCTATCGAGTTCTGACAGCTTACCTGCTCTGTTAACCGAGGCAAAATAATGATTGAAATGTTCTGCTTTCTTCTTGTCTTCAGTGATTGTCTTACTCCCATCTGTCACTGGTTTTGGGTTCACCCTTCTACTTTCTCCGGAGAGGTTTTTAACTAAAGTCCATGCTTTATTTCCATTCTGTCTAAGGTCTAAGTTGGAGCAAGTTTCTGTCCATTTATCTCTTTTAGCCTTATTAACTACAAGCTTTACTCTGGCACATGCTTTATTGTATTGGATCTTTGCTTCTGTTGAACGTGCAGTTTCGAGAAATATTCTTGCTTTATTCCTTTCAGATATAGTATTTTGAATTTCTTGATTCCAAAAAGGTTTATATGCCTTCCGGCTGCCCCTTGGGATGGCTTTCGACGCTGCATTCAGGATTGCTTGTGTTATGTCTTCACAAAAAGTTTCCACACAGCTGTTGTCAATTCTTCCCAGGAGGCAGTCAGATGTTTCCTGAAATAGTTTCCAGTTTGCTTTTCGGAAATTCCAACGGGTTCTCTGCTTGAAGCGTAATTTAGGGGTGGTGCTTACAGTTGTGAGTATAGGTTTGTGGTCACTTCCTATGTCGTCCAGGACTTGGGGATAGCTTGCGTCTGCTAAGTCGGATGAGCAGATGGTCAGGTCTGGTCTGCTGAGAGATAGGTGGGCCCTGTGTAACAGTGTAGGTGTAGACTCTGTGTCCTGCAGCACTAATAGGTTAGTTGTTTCACAAGTATCTTCGATGTACTTCCCTGTGCTATTGTAGTCAGGGTAACCCCAACGTGGCGAGTGTCCGTTGAAGTCACCAACAAGAAGGGTTTTATGGTACTGTGTCTTGTATAGTTCTGGTATGTTGCATGTTGTCTGAGGTGGGCTGTACACGTTGTATATCGTGTATTTGCTTCCATTGTGCCAGATAGTTATTTTTTGCACATCTGTAGGGTGAGATGTCGACAGCATTGTTACATCTCCTTGTATGTCATTTCTGATATAGGTCACTATGCCCCGGCAGTCATTGCACTTACAGGCATAACTAGTATATCCAGTGAGATGCAGATCAGAGTCTTTATGCAGGGTTTCTTGTAGGGCAGCCACGTGTACCCTGTGGTTGTTTAGCAGTTTGGCAAGTTCAAGTTTCTTATTTCTTATTCCACAGATGTTCAGCTGCAGAATATTGAGCATCTGTGTATTTTTTGCTGTGCTGTCTGAGTTCTTTTTGCTCTCCCTCCCACTCTTCCTCCTCCTGGGGTGTCTGTTTTCCCTATTTATTTCAAATTTTCCAGTAGCCAATTTTTCGCACATGACAGCCTGGTTTCCCACTGTCTGGCGCGGGCCTTGATAGACGAGGCGACGACCGATCTCGTATGTATTCTTAACTTTTGACATATTCATGGCATTGTGGTGCTGGGGTGTCTGTGGATTACCTACCTCCCCGGGCAGCAGCTAGAAATGCCCTGTACCAGTTCTAAAGGAAATATGGGTTGTGTTTCTGCCTTTCCCTTTAACACGTAGCTAAGGTGGGGCTCACAGTGTGCTCATTCCCCGCCACCAGATTGCCTGCAGGTTTCGCTGAGCTCTTCATGTCTCTAAGCATGGCCTAAGCATGAGTAGTTGGGGCAACTGGATCGTCACGTCCTGAGTCCCTGTGCCTTCACGATAGTTTCCGGTATTCAGGGGGGTTAGCATACTTGTTTCCATTCCTAAGACTGTTCAGCACACCTCTGGCTCCTTCCCTCCCACAGGGGGCAGTACGGTGTGGTGCACCGGGTTTATTATCGAGGTTTGCTCCTCTAGATCCATTGTGTTTTGCCTGGGGATTCGCACCCCCAGTTACCGGGACTACCTCGGGGAGGCTGTGACTCTTCGCCACGCACAATGGTCTTGAGGTAAGAGAGGTTTTGCTAGGTCAAGAGGCTGACACCACAATGGACGCTCCTTTCGTGAACAGATATTCACTAGACCTAGGGTGAAGTAAGGGGGGGAACCCACCACACACAACACCAACACTTCTTACCCCCTGCCTCTCGAGGCTCAGTCCCGACCCGACAAGGACATCCATTGCCACTTCACTAGCAAGCAGGCTCTACTAGGGTGACCAGCTACTTCCTGCACCATAACAGCTTTATCATATGGATTTTTCATTTTATAAGAATTTTTGCTAAGCGACGCAACATGACTATTGACCTGGCTTTGGTTACCTAATCAGCAGTACTGGACACCAAATGGGCAGTTCTGGGCGATCATGGAAATGACCATCTGCCATGTTCAGTATTGATCTCTAAATTCAGAAAAGTGAAGGCTTCAAGAGCTCATAGGTCTTTCAAGTATGAGCGGACAAAGACCCTTCTTGGACGCCTCCAACAAAGGGCATGTTAGAGGACCAGCAGATCCATTTTTTCGCAGCGCCCATGGTGGACATAAGAGGTGGAACGGGCATGGAATTTTAAGAGAGAGCTGCAGTAAAGCGTTTAAAGAAAGTGCAACAGACAACTATAAGCTCACAGGAAGAATAAACAGAAATGGCGGTATGCTATTAACCACAGATAAAAAGAAGTCGGAGGCTTTCCATGAGAGGTTCTTTCACAGCAATGATACAGAAAACAGAGATACAGTTAGAGAAGGATTTGGCAGCCACCTTAAAGAACAAACATTATGAAGACATCAGTCAGGTGGATGATGTAAAACATGTTCTAAAAAAGGTTAAAGACATTACACCCAGGCAGTAACGGACTCTGAAAGCATGCTGAGAAAGGCGAAGACATGGATGCTTTGAGCAGAGTGGCAAGCTTCACTGCTAAGGTCACAGGTAGTGAGCATACTTTGGATCTTTCTTCCAGGCCATGCCGGTGTGGTGGGGAATGAACAGGCAGACTAATACGATCTGCACCACTGGGTGGTGAACTGATACATGACAAGGCAGATGTGGTCAAGTCCTTTAGGAACAAGCAACAGAGTCAGCAAAGAAACAAGATTATTGTGGCCTGGAGAGAATGAGGCACCTGGGTGTAACCAGAGGGTCTGGCTGGCTCACTACACTCAGAGGAAGGGCAGGACGGACATATAACCAGATAGCGACCAGTACCATTAGTATAAAAACTCTGAGGTGGCTGCTGAAGATGACGGAGCATGTAAGGAAATGTCCTGAGTGTTGTGATGTCAATTCTGGACTCAACTCAACTCAGGCAGATGCACTGACTTTGAAGGAAACATCCCTCATTTGTGATGCTTGTTAGGGAGCAGTGGGTTCATTCCCCTATCTTTCATAAAAATGGGACACCCAGAACCTATCAGTGGGGGGTAAAAGCAGAAGCTGAAGAATCAAAAAAATTTTTAGAGCACATCTTAGGTCTGGTTGACCATGTTCTTAGTGCACTTGTATCTATAGCGCTGCGCACACGCCATTTGGAGGTAACAGCTTAAATTAACTGCATGGTAACTATAGCTTTCAATATTTATGTTCTTCTATCTTTCTACTTCTTTCTATGAGTGCCGATCAATACATTTTATGTTACTTTATTAAGCTTGGGGGGGGGGGGGGGCTAAGTCATATGCCTCACCCCCTGAAGGATGCATGGTTTACAAGTGCAATTTATTTGTGTGCTGATCTCTAGAAATCATTGCCAGAGCTTCGAATTTTACACTTCATGTGACAGTCTCACAGGCACCTATCCATGCTGGGTTGCCATATGGGTTGAAAAAATCTGCTGCAATTAAGCCTATCTTCTCAAGTTTAAAGCCTTTATTCATTAAAATATTTAAATGTAAACATTTGAGGAAACCTCATGTGCAAAGTGGAGAAGGAAGAGGAAAGGGCAGGGTTTTGTAGAAGCATATGGTAGCAGCAAAGCTGGTGAGTGAGCGTGTGTTGGTAGCAGCAGAGAGGTGGGTTTGAGTGATAGTGTATTTGCGCATGTCGATGGTAGAAATGGAGTTGGTGAGTGTATGTTGGTAGCAGCAAAGTAGGTGGGGGTAAATGACACTATGTTTGTGAATATTGGTGGTAGCAGCACAGCAGGTGTGTGAGTCTGTGTTGGTAGCAGCAGAGTGGATGTGCGAGTTTGTGTTTGTAGCAGAGTGGGTGTGTGAGTCTGAGTTGATAATAGCAGAGCAGGTGTGTGAGTCTGTGTTGGCAGCAGCATAGTGGATGTGTGAGTCTGTGTTGGTAACAGCAGAGTTGCTGTGTGTCAGTGATGGTAGCAGCAGAGTAGCTGGGTGTAAGTGACTGTGTGTTTGTGCATGCTGGTGAGTGAGCGTGTGTTCTGGCAGCAGCAGACTGGGTGTGTAAGCGTGTGTTAGTAGCAGCAGACTGGGTGTGTAAGCGTGTGTTGGTAGCAGCAGACTGGGTGTGTAAGCGTGTGTTGGTAGCAGCAGACTGGGTGTGTAAGCGTGTGTTGGTAGCAGCAGACTGGGTGTGTCAGCGTGTGTTGGTAGCAGCAGAGTAGGTGGGGGTGAGTGACACTGTGTTTGTGCATATCGGTGGTAGCAGCAGAGCAGGTGTTTGAGTCTGTGTTGGTAGCAGCAGACTGGGTGTGTAAGCGTGTGTTGGTAGCAGCAGAGTAGGTGGGGGTGAGTGACACTGTGTTTGTGCATATCGGTGGTAGCAGCAGAGCGGGTGTTTGAGTCTGTCTTGGTAGCAGCAGAGCGGGTGTGAGTTTGTGTCGGTAGCAGAAGATTAGCTGGGTATGCATGACACTGTTTTTGTGTATGTCGGTGGAAGCAGCAGAGCAGGTGAGTGAGTGAGCGCCTGTGTTCTGTTTCCAAACATACCGAGTTTGACATCCCCATCCAGGGTCACCAGCACATTGCCTGCCTTGATATCTCTGTGGATAACCTTGTGCTCGTGCAGGAAAGCCAGGCCCACGCACATTTCATGTGCAACATAGCGGATCATTGGTTCTGTCAGAGGCCTCTCCAGATCCACCATGATGGAATCCAGAGCTCCTCCACCACAAAACTCAATAAACATCTGAAACAACAAATTACAAAATGTACGCAACTAGAGTTTCGAAAAACTAAAAACATTTTTTTTTTCATGTTTTAAACACAACTACCCCTACATATGTCCAGGGACTCATTTTTGAAGAGAAAATAATCAACCGCTGCTCTCTATAACAAGCGTGTCACAAAAGGCAACTAATTAGGGGTTTGCTGAAATCAGATGTGTTGTTCCAAAATGTGCAGATCTCGCACTCTAGCTGTAAACCACTATCATGCCAACCACCCTTAAAACAGTGAATGCAGAAGACGAAGAAGAAGAAACAGAATTGTTGTAGTCAGAACCAATTACACCAGCTTGATGATTTATATGGAAGCTCCATCAAATGTCAGATTACAGGTCTGCTTACTGTTCCTGTCAACATCTGTGGCTCAAAAGTTGTGAATGCACTGGGCAATCCATTTGCCTGCAGAAACCGGCCTGGTTTTAATCTAGAGAGCTAGCAGAATTTTTTTCTTTCTTTTTTTTTAATCAGTAGAGCTTTGGGGCTGACCCAGCCTCATAAAAATGGGTAAGTTATACATCGTGGTCTAGAACAGGGCTATTCAACTAAGTTCACTCAGCGCTGTGGCACAAATGTTGAAAATGTGGATCCTCACGGACCAGAGTAATAAGCTTCACTGTTTTAAAAATAATGAAATAAAAGTGGCAACTATCCCCAGGCCACTTTCTATGCCTCTGTGGGCTGTATTCAGCCCGCTGGCCACCAGCTGAATAGCAGGATTTTTCTTTAATCAGAAGAGATCTGGGGTTGACCCAGCCTTATAAAACTAGGTATGTTATATATATCATGGCCTAGATCAGGGCTATCCAACTGGTAATCTGGTAATCCTAGTTTCAGCTTCATAGCAAACGGGTCACCCCATAGTTGCTCCGCTCCTGTGCCAACGAAAAACACACGTAGCTCACAGTATCACACCATGCACTCAACTCAGAAGCTGGGCGACGAAACTATATCCTTCCAGTCTATAAATGGAGCAAAAATGCAACGGCAACCACCTGGCAAGAAAAAAAAGATGGCCTTGCTTAGCGTCCATTTTGACCTGAAGCATTATATGAGGGTTAATAAACTGTACCCCCAGCAGTACCCTGATTATTAGCTGGGGAAGGGTCTTGGGACATTACATCCACCATCAGGCGTCGCTCCTACAACGACCTGCCGGCCTTCGTTAACGACTGTTCACCCAAGAGCCATGCAGTTCTTTGGCACGAAGGAGACACCTTGAACTAGGGTTTCGGGCTGCCGACTCCCTACAAGATGTTATTTTATGTTTTGTTATCACACTTGATGTCACTGCACATTGGGCATACCCATGCGTGCTCAGTTCTCCAAAGCAGCAGCCACTCCAAAGTACTTCTACTAATTGTCCCCATGAGAAGCTGGTTATATCATCTCCTTTCTCGGCCTCGCAGACGGCAAAGACGTGCATCACCATGCTTAACTCCCATGTCACGAAATCGTGTTAGTGTCAGGGATTCCTCATTCTCCACTAGCCCAGTTCGTACAGCGTTAACGATATCTGCTCTGTCCATGCTTTTTCCTGCAATCATTAGTGTAGTCCTTGCCAGTTGGTCCGATCGCTCATTTCCCTTTACACCCGCATGACCCGGTGTGTAGATCCAGATTACGGATGTTAAGTGCGATTTCCGAATGCTTTCTATCCATTCAAAGCGCATACTGCCTGTTGCTATCTTCTGAAGCATATTCATTGAGTCTGGGACAATTACTGCCTGTGTGGCGGTTTGCTCGGACACCCACCCTAAAGCTCTAGAAGCAGCGGCTATTTCCATTGTCATGCTTGACGTGGTAGTCTGGTAAGCGCCGCTGTCCTCATGTATTGTTTCCCCCATTCTTTGCGCTGTGTATGCCCATGCTGACCTTGATCCGCGCTTCACGGATCCATCTGTGTAGATGATGATATTCAACTAAGTTTAGGCAGGGGCCGAAATGTTGAAAATGAGGATCATCACAGGCCAGAGGACTGAGCCCCAGTGTTTCAAGAATAAGATACAACTGGCAATTATCCACGGCCATTTGCTAGGCCTCTGTGGGCCGTATTTGGCCTGCAGGCCACCAATTTAATAGCCCTGGCCTAGATCATTCGAGAGCCTAACATTTTAAATTTCAACAGCATTATCTGCTAGAGGATTACCTTTATCTTTATCAAATGATAGGTATCTCTTGAATTGAGGCTTCATTTTATTTATCAGTTTATTAACGGAACTACATCTGAACCTCTAAACATTTATACACTGCCTGTGCTCATTTCCCACTAGCATTTACCATATTTCTTTTATTAATATTTCTCTGTAAGTATAAAAAGTTCAGGCCCCTTTTCCATGCCTTTAGGTGTATAGGGCATATAAGGCTAGACCTATATTTTTATACGACCAATTGGAACAAGATGGTGATGTGGTCAGCATCACGCCGGCTGCCTTTACTTCCCGGGACTGCACCCAGTACCCACTCAAGGCTGGGTTAACCTGGCAGTCAAGGTTATTTTGGGGAAAAGTCCGGCAACACCAGGGAGCGAACCCACGACTTCCGATTTACGATCCGCACTGGAGCGTCTAGCCGCTAGGCCATGGTGAATCCCAATATTTTTCTGAGCAAGCGTTTATCCACTGCCAGCTTGCTGGGCCTGTGATAATTTCAGGGAGTATTTAAGTGGTTGTTTCCCATTCCACCTGGTGAGCCAGAGACATGTTAGCCTGAGAGTATGTTGCTTCAGTTTTCCAGTGTGTGCCACTTCACATTTTGCGTAGACTCATATTACTTTTCAATACAGATATAATCTGTTTGATTGTATTGCTGTCTAGTCATATTCACAAGCATTCTTGTATGTGGAAAAACACTAGAAGTAGACTCCAATTTCTTGCTAATACAGATATAATCAGTTTGATTGTATTGCTGTCTGGGAATGTTCACACTGCGTTATGTATTCTTAAAAGCAGGAAAAAAAAACGAGATCAACACTACAACAACAAATTAGTGAGAAAGTGTAAAGTCTTACCCATAGTTTACTGTCAAAGAAGAAGGCCTCATGAAGACCAACAATATTCTGGTGAGGACATTCTGCTAAAATATTTATTTCAACAGCAAAGTCTTCCAAATCTTCTTCAGATTTTATTTCAACTTGTTTTAAAGCAGCATATTCATTTGTCTCTTTATTTCTTGCCTGCAAAATGAAGAAATGAATAACATATTACAATGTGAATACATCACTAAAATTTATATGACCAACAAAGAAGCGGTAAAGGACAATATTGAGACTTTTGCCTGCCAGCCTGAATGTCTCTAGGGTTCACATCTATACTGAATTGGATTTATCAAAACTGACCTTGGCTCACTAGTCGACCTGGCCCAAAAATGGGTACTTGCTACAGAGGCATTTAATGATGAATATCTGCAGTCCTGCCGTGATAAGAGTTTAACCCAGGTAACTTTTCTGTAGAGAGAGAGGGAGACCAAGAGAGAAGATACTGGACAGTTTCAATGCATGAACAAACTGTGTCAGAAGTGACTGGCAGTATCTAAGATACAACACAGCATGTCATGACGGTATGAAAGAAGGTGCCTATTTCACTGTTTTCTTATTGAATTCTAACAGTGCAATAGCACAAACAGTTCAAGGTCTGAAGAGAAGGGTGCAGCAAGAAGTCAACAGGGGATCTAGCCAATGCTTAACACTTAGTGGCAAGCAAGCCAGACATACAATCAGATGCTTCTGATACTATCAGAACTGAAAAGCTCTGCTTGCTGCTGAAATTGGAATGGAGAGCTTACAGGAATAACCCAAATGCTATATCAGTTCTAACTCAACTCAATCAAATCTTTTACCTTTTTTATTAATCCTTCCCTAATTCTCTTTACTCTAACCATTTGTCTCCTACTCCATCTCTATTCAAATACCTTTTAAATCTGTTTGTATCTACTCTCTATGTGTGTGCCCTCGCGCACACATACATTATTACTTTCTCAATTTATCCAACTTCGATGTGAAATATTGTGTAATCTTCATTTCTTATGCTGAATCTGTCACTACCTGGACTAACCCAACCTGAGACATTTACTGATGAATATCTGTAGTCCTGCTGTGACAGCTTTTAACACAGGTAACTTCTCTGTTTTGCATGGCACGACAAGTTGAATGTCTATTTGACATCTGTGTTAAGTCAAATGTGTTAGGGTAAGGGGCTGTAACCAGCAATGCAGCAAGTTTAAAAGGTGGATGTGTACAAGCATCTAATCTCACTGCCCACAAATTTGGGAGATGCTGTTTATTCCTATACCACTGCTGTGTTATATGCAAAGTGTGCATTGCCAACAGAAGTTAGATAACTGACCAAATATTCATTAACACTTAAATTTTTTTTTTTAATTTAATGAATTCACTGATTTATGAATAGGAAACTCAATTAGTGGCAAAGAGAACAACATGCACAGAAACAAAGGAACATTTCAACCAAAGTCCCTGGGTGGGTTCCGGGGCCATGTTAAAGGAAAAACAAGAATAGACCCACTGCCTACTCAAAAGCATGTCCTAAGAGTTGACAAATTGGGAGTTTCCTTCAAAGTCGGAGTGCATCTGCCTGAGAGGCAAGGAACCAGCAGTCTGCATATAACTGAGTCAGATCTGTAAAAATCGATGAACACACAACACTAAGGTTCTGAAACAGGACCGCAGTCCAGAAATGGATAAACAATCAGAACTTTGCGCCAGAGTTTACAGTTAGTGAACGCCAAGAAGAAATAGATTTCAACTAAAGCACTAGAAAAACAATAATCCTAGATATAAGTAGGTTTAGCATTTTTGGATTAGTGTCTATTCTAGGATTCTGTGTCTAGTATTCTTGTTCTTATAAAATCAAATACCCATAGAGACTACTACAGCCATGCTGAATCAATGAGTTCTGAACAAGATAACTAAAAACAGATATGTATTAAAAGTAGAGAGTAATAAAAAAGAACAATTGATTGATGAAACTGAAAACAAAAGATATAGCTCTGCAGACTGAATTACTGAAACTGCATCTGTGACATATAAAGAGACCTACAGAAACAGTACGCTCCCTCGTAAAGTGTGATTACTAAAAAATCAACGTTGTCCCTTCAGGATACATCTGCCTGTGCCACAATACAGCTTCACACTGTAGCTGTTAAACCTTCACTATAATACCTACCTGTCACTTTCATGTCTGCGGTCACTCCTTAACAACCCTGAGATGTACATATTACAGAGGGCATACTTTTCAGACAGCTCTATTAAAACCTTTTTTTTTAACCTGACTGAAATGTACAACTTGACATCACAGACTGCTTAAGGTAGAAGACCCCTCAGGTACCCTAAAATAGGAACTATTGCAATTTGATTGATTTTAACCCCACAGACTGACTCTAGGTGGTTGTAAATTTTGACATTCAGAAATCTGAAAGCGTTATGTAAATAATGTTCTAATATAGTCGCAATGAACTCAAAACAGTTTATATTTTTTAAAAGATAACATTTCATCAACCATTTCATTCTCAACGAGCGCATTTGGCACATATGTTAACTCTCTGAGGACATATCACCACTTTAGTGGCTTCTGAATCCATCACATTTGGATGGATCACCAAATTAAATGGATTTGTACAACAGTCTTAATACTGTTTTGTTTGTTACGAAAATGAATTTGTATGAACACATTTTTTAAAAACAAGAATTAGCGAAAAGAAAGTATTATCATTTCCCAAGCATGCCGAGGCAAGAGGTTAATTTTTTTTTATGTTTTTTTAATTAATTCAGTGTGATATAATTTGTATGTGAATTTCATTAAACTATTGCTGTGATAACTCTTGAAGTCATTTCAATACACAAGAATCTTCTGCATTTACCCTTAAACAGGTAGTTGGTGAGTTGCACAGCTCAACACATCCGATTTCTGCACACCCTTAACTAGTCCCCTTTCATGACATGTTAATTATCAGTGGGTCTATTCTCTCCCCCCCCCCCCCCCAATGTGTGTATTAGAACCCACACAAAGAATGCAAGTATCACTTTTGTAATCTGTTGCTTGATGTTTTTTCTAACTGGTGCTCACTGTACATGGCTGATATCTGTATGTCATAACCAAGGGATAGAGGTGTTAACCAAAGATCCAGTATTCAGAACAGACTGAGACATGATATATAGATTTAGAAAAGAGGATGTAATCCAAGAGAACAGGCTCATTGTGGGGAAAATGGACTTTCCTTTAAGCTCAATAACATTGACAATGGCAACACATTGAGATGGGTACAATACTATCTACATAATAGGTAACCAGTGTTTTTTAAATGCTATTATGCAATAGAGTCACTGCAGATATACGAGTCTCATCGCTTCAATTATTTTAAAAATATTTCAGACTTATTAGTGAACTGCCCTTTAAGAAAAAATATAGCAATATATACAACTGATCTGAGTTGTAATGTGCTTACAGAAATACCACAACAATGCAGAAAAAAATGCAGAAACTCTACTTAACAGGATAAATAAATGGTGTTTTGAAACACAAAAATTAGCTGCTCTAAAAAAGGTAAAGATCAGAGGACACAACAGACAAAATATACTGGAAAGCTATTTGCTACGAAAATGAATTTGTATGAACACATTTTTTAAAAACAAGAATTAGCGAAAAGAAATTATTATCATTTCCCAAGCATGCCGAGGCAAGAGGTTAATTTTTTTTATGTTTTTTAATTAATTCAGTGTCACTAGGATTTGTTCCTACTGACCTCTGCAGAGCTGTGAAAGTACCAACTGTTTGAGTAGTCTAAGTAGAGCTGTGTAAGAACTAACTGCTTGAGTAATCTGAGTAGAGCTGTGTAAGAACCAACTGTTTAAGTAATCTGAGCAGAGCTGTGTAAGAACCAACTATTTGAGTAATCTGAGCAGAGCTGTGTAAGAACCAACTGTTTGAGTAATCTGAGCAGAGCTGTGTAAGAACCAACCATTTGAGTAATCTGAGCAGAGCTGTGTAAGAACCAACCATTTGAGTAATCTGAGCAGAGCTGTGTTAGAACCAACCGTTTGAGTAATCTGAGCAGAGCTGTGTTAGAACCAACTGTTTGAGTAATCTGAGCAGAGCTGTGTAAGAACCAACCGTTTGAGTAATCTGAGCAGAGCTGTGTAAGAACCAACTGTTTGAGTAATCTGAGCAGAGCTGTGTAAGAACCAACTGTTTGAGTAATCTGAGTAGAGCTGTGTAAGAACCAACCATTTAAGTAATCTGAGCAGAGCTGTATAAGAACCAACTGTTTGAGTAATCTGAGCAGAGCTGTGTAAGAACCAACTGTTTGAGTAATCTGAGCAGAGCTGTGTAAGAACCAACTGTTTGAGTAATCTGAGCAGAGCTGTGTAAGAACCAACTGTTTGAGTAATCTGAGCAGAGCTGTGTAAGAACCAACTGTTTGAGTAGTCTGAGCAGAGCTGTGTAAGAACCAACCGTTTGAGTAATCTGAGCAAAGCTGTGTAAGAACCAACCGTTTGAGTAATCTGAGCAGAGCTGTGTAAGAACCAACTGTTTGAGTAGTCTGAGTAGAGCTGTGTAAGAACCAACCGTTTGAGTAATCTGAGCAGAGCTGTGTAAGAACCAAATGTTTGGGTAATCTGAGCAGAGCTGTGTAAGAACCAATGTTTGAGTAGTCTAAGCAGAGCTGTGTAAGAACCAATGTTTGAGTAGTCTGAGCAGAGCTGTGTAAGAACCAACTGTTTGAGTAATCTGAGTATAGCTGTGTAAGAACCAACTGTTTGAGTAGTCTGAGCAGAGCTGTGTAAGAACCAATGTTTGAGTAGTCTGAGCAGAGCTGTGTAAGAACCAATGTTTGAGTAATCTTAGCAGAGCTGTGTAAGAACCAATGTTTGAGTAGTCTGAGCAGAGCTGTGTAAGAACCAATGATTGAGTAGTCTGAGCAGAGCTGTGTAAGAACCAATGTTTGAGTAGTCTGAGCAGAGCTGTGTAAGAACCAATGTTTGAGTAGTCTGAGCAGAGCTGTGTAAGAACCAATGTTTGAGTAATCTTAGCAGAGCTGTGTAAGAACCAACTGTTTGAGTAATCTGAGCAGAGCTGTGTAAGAACCAATGTTTGAGTAGTCTGGGCAGAGCTGTGTAAGAACCAACTGTTTGAGTAGTATGAGCAGAGCTGTGTAAGAACCAACTGTTTGAGTAATCTGAGCAGAGCTGTGTAAGAACCAACTGGGCTCTACTGGCAAATCCGGACGAAGAATAAAAAGCCTTGGACGACTTAGTCAGAGTTCTCTCCCTTGGCCGCACTCCAAACAGTGATCGGAAAACAAACGACACACTTAGCTATCATCCTGCGGTTGCGTGTAGGGCTGCGTACGGTTGCGTCAGGCATCGTGGCATCATCATATGGTTGCGTGCAGGGTTGCGTACGGGTGCGTGAGGCATTGTGAATGGTTGTGTAGTCATCATCATGCGGTTGTTGGATTAGAGTTAGGGGTAGGGTTAGGGGTAGGGTTAGGGGTGGGGTTAGGGTTAGGGGTGGGGTTAGGGTTAGGGTTAGGGGTGGGGTTAGGGTTAGCGTTAGGGTTAGGGGTAGGGTTAGGGTTAGGGTTAGATGTGAAAATTTTGACGTAGGATTTCGAAATACTGGCCGACAATATGATGTTTGTGGCAGTGGCGCCACTGAAACTCTGCCAAATATGACGCCAATAGCGTTCGGCTGGTGCTCCCCAATCGTTGGCGAATTGTGCGTTTCACCAGCATCCAGTAGCCCTCTATTGTTTGTGTGTGTGTATGGGACTGTGCGCGATTATAGGGAACTCCGCCGTCAAAATTGTCAAATCTAACGCTAAACCCTAACCCTACCGCTAACCCTAATCCTACTCCCTAACCCCTACCCCCTAACCACGCAAATTTATCGATCATTAAAGCATACAAATCGGCAAACACCAACAAACAAAACACACCCACAAAAACACCCAGAATTGTCCTGCAGCGTCAAAAAAAACCCAGATCTGGGGGAAACAACCAAGCATTGGCAGCCCTGATGTCGACGTGACTGTCTTCTTTGTTTCGTTGTGGCTTTTCCGAACACTGTTTGGAGTGTGGCCACGGGAGAGAACTCTGACTAAGTCGTCCAAGGCTGTTTATTCTTCGTCCGGATTTGCCAGTAGAGCCACCAACTGTTTGAGTAATCTGAGCAGAGCTGTGTAAGAACCAACCGTTTGAGTAGTATGAGCAGAGCTGTATAAGAACCAATGTTTGAGTAATCTGAGCAGAGCTGTGTAAGAACCAACTGTTTGAGTAATCTGAGCAGAGCTGTGTGAGTGTAAGAACCAACTGTTTGAGTAATCTGAGCAGAGCTGTGTAAGAACCAACTGTTTGAGTAATCTGAGCAGAGCTGTGTGAGTGTAAGAACCAACTGTTTGAGTAATCTGAGCAGAGCTGTGTGAGTGTAAGAACCAACCATTTGAGTAGACTGAGCAGAGTTGTGTGAGTGTAAGAACCAACTGTTTGAGTAGTCTGAGCAGAGCTGCACAATGAATATGCAGTTCTTTCTGCTCGATCCAGTCAGCTTATATGTTATAGTTATACATAAATAAGATATAATTATAATTATTATAATACTTATGAAAAGTCAGTCAAAGGTAAAAAATAACAAAATAAATGCCTACCTTGTAGACAGCCCCAAAAGCACCTTCTCCAATTTCTCCAATAATCTCCCAAAACTGCTGTGGATCTATATCCTTTCTGATGTGCTTATTCCACTGACCTTTTTGTTTGACTTGGGCCTCATCCGACCCAAACTTGAATAATTTTTTGAAGTTGCTAAGAAAAGACATCGTTAATGTTTGCTAGGTCATCAACGACTAGCTCATTACTTCATAAATGATTAACGCCTGTATTAAAAGGATTTGTGTTTTGCCTTCTAACTTTACACTTCCCACTATTTCAGGTGACCATACAGTGTAAAAATAATTGTCTATTGGCAACGACTTTTGCCGTTTTCTGTCCCAGCACCAATTCAAGGCCACACTTGAGAAATTAGAAGCAGGATCCGTGTAAAAACGTGTCTTTATGTACTAGATATATTCACACGCTTTCTGTTCTTTAATGTCTCACTAAATATTTTCATGCAAAACGTTGCATAAATGCTTAATCAACCGACAGCAATACGATTTAGAATTGATTCCATTCTGTGTGACAATAACAACTTCCTCCTTCTTCGGCATTACCAGACGGTGGCCATTTTGATTGTTGGGGGCTAGCTGCGCCTGCGCAGTGCATGCATGTGTCAGGTGGATTGTCAAGGAGCAGTGTCTCTCAAATGCACTTGTCCGGCTCGTTAGGGCGTTGCTATATACCAGTCGTCCCCATGTGGGATGCAATTGTTCGTTATTTGAAGCCCCACTCTGTCTTTTGCCGGGGGCCCTGAGTATAACCGGGCCGTAAATATGACCTAATGGCTGAAAGGGGTTCCTGTGATCTCTCCACGGGTGGTCCTCATCCGCATGGTCGCACTTTGTGTCACCGGGTGTTTATCGCTATGTGTGATGTCCTGGTGGGGTAAATTTACTTACTACTACTACTACTGCTACTCGTTAGGGCGTTAGGCAATGGTCAACTCCTTTTAAAAAACGACGTCCTGTTTTAGGTGTGCCAAGGCCAAGAGAGAAATTGTGACATGATAATTCCTCTATGGATTTTAGGGCAACTTTTAAGGGAAAGGGGATAGACCCACTATTCTACCGCCCCCCCCCCCCACACACACACACACTCACACACAAAGCATGTCAAAGCAGGTAAATAATTATAAGTGTTTCCTATGAAGTCAGGGTGCATCTGCCTGAGAGGCGAGTTACCAACAACCTGCAAACAAATCAGCTAGATTGGTAAACAGATGTGTACGCAAGACTCAAGTTCTGTAACGAGCCTAGTCTTGATTTAATTTTTTTGTTTTATAGAGGGTATCTTCTTCTTCTTCTTCGCGTTCACCGACTGTAACTCCGATGGAAAGTTCTGGTTGTTCGTCCTCTTCTGGACTGCAGTCCTGTTCCAGAACCTGAGTGTTGCGTGTGCATCAGTTTGACAGATCTAATTTGTATGCAGATTGTTTGTTTGTTTCCTCTCAGGCAGATGCACTCCGAGTTCGAAGGAAATTCCCAGCTAGTCGACTCTGACGACATGCTTTTGGGTAGGCAGTGGATTTATTCATAATTTCCCTTTAATAGGGCCCCGGAACCCACACGTGGAATAGAGGGTATGTTCACATGTTCACAAGTGTAAGCGTTAGCAGGTAAAGATTAAACTGGAGATAATATCGGCAGCGCTTTTGAGAGTATGCGCTCGCAGCTAGTAAGGTATTCTAGCTGCTGGTAGCTTTCACACGTTAAAATGTCTGCACGAGTGGCGTAAGCATGCTGCAGGCGTTTTTCTGGCTATGTTCGGGAAGTAAACAGAGTGGCGTGTTTGTGAAAAATAGTCAACAGTAATAATAAACTGTAAAATAATGCATGTTTCTTTAGCAATGAAGAGCGTGAGCGCCGATAACGGCGATTACATGCACGTCTCGACACTGCACCGAGATTAAACCGACTGATTTACTACATTATTTACTACATTATTTACTACATTATTTACTACATTATTTACTACATTATTTACTACATTATTTACTACATTATTTACTACATTATTTACTACATTATTTACTACATTATTTACTACATTATTTACTACATTATTTACTACATTATTTACTACATTATTTACTACATTATTTACTACATTATTTACTACATTATTTACTACATTATTTACTACATTATTTACTACATTTACATAGACAGAATATGTTTTTTTTAAAGCCAGCTTTAAAGCAGTCGATCCAGAAGATGAGGCGTTTTACTTTCAAGAGGAAGAATTAGATCCACACACAATAAACGAGCTACTATTTGCAGACATGCATGTTCTACAATGGAGGGAGTAGATTGCAAGAACATTTGAACAGGCTAAGTTCAACATGCAGAATATAATCATCCTCATCATATGTCCTACCAGTTGGTGTTGGCGCTCATGCGTCTCCACAAATCACGATCCCTGGTTGCCTTGAACAACTCTCTTGTTGATATCCCTTCATGCCATCGTTTCAGACCCTCCAGCATCATCTCTCTTGGTCTGCCTCTACCCCTCTTTCCGTTGATCGTTCCAGTTGTCACGATGTTTTCCAATGCTTTTCTTCTCATTAAGTGACCAAAGAACAATGTTTGTCTACTTCTTAATTTGTATATAGAGATATATTTTCATTTGCTTCTCTCAAACAGAACGCAGAAGATATAACATGAACATAAATACTACTAAAACTGAAATAATGCAAGTCAGCAGAATTCATAGTCCGCTACACAACGGGTTAAATGGTAGTTAAGCAAGGTAAAGAATTTAAATATCTAATCTAGGAAGTATATTCTCTGAGGACGGGAGAATAGATCCGGAAATAGAAACAAGATGCCAACGAGCCAGGGCACTTATATACCAACTAACATCGTTATTAAAACATCTAAACATAAGTATGAGCGCCGAAAAACAGATTATAACCAGCATATTCCTACCAACACTGTTTTATCAGTACTAGACTTGGACATTGTCAAAGACTAACCTTCGCAAAATTAACACCAGCGAAAACAAGATGCCTGAGAAAAGCCGCCGACTTGGCAATGTGAGACAAAGTTAGAAATAATAACAGACGGACTGTGGGAACAACACCATGCATCAAATTCATCGAGAAACAGAAGATTAAATGGTTTGGTCAGCCCGGCTCGCTAGCGTAGTTGGCTAAACCGGATTGCGCGGTGACCGGGTGACGAACTCCTTGTGGTCCGGGTTTACGCCCGGGGGTAGGCATAATAGCCACATTTCTCCCAGATTTACGGTATTTATCGTGGAATCAAGGCCATATCCATAATACCGAGCCTAAGGGTTAACAACTCATGGCTTCTGGATGCTACAAAAAAATAATGGTTTGGTCACTTAGTAAGAATGTAGCCAGAACATCTACCAACGCAGGCGATACACATGAAAAGATCTGAAGTGAAAGCAAAAGGCCGCCCTAGGAGAATATGGATTGATGACATTAAAGAGCTTCTACAGAGAGTAACAATAACCAAAGCTGCCCTGTCAAGCAATGGATCGTAAACTGTTCCTCCCCACAATGATTAACAGCAGAAGTATAAATTAATGATGATGATGATGATGATGATGATGATGATGATGATGATGATGATGATGATGATGATGATCATGATGGATAAACACTGCAATCTTCAAAGCTATAAGCGAGACACGTTAATTGTTCACATTGTACACAATCAACACCCAAGTACTGCACTGTCCACACACGCTGAGCGCATGGCATGCTCCCCGTGCAAGTATTTCTACTAGAAGAGAAGATAGGTCTTCTAAAAATTATTGTACCGAGAAGCAAACTGTTACAAGAAGTGAGCCAGCTAACACAATAAAACAGTCGCCCATTTCTTAGACATACTGACCCCATTTTTCGCTCCCCGTCCGCGCGCTGGAGATACATAGGCTAGTAACTGTCCTAGTTATCCTTTTGAACGAAGTTTTTTCGCCAGGGACACAGATGAGTATCATTTACTATGTACATTGGAGTCCTATGCAGCCACTTCGTAGTTAAAGCATATTTGTGTATGTGTACTTTGTTGTCCTTTATGTGCTGATGAAGGCTAATCGCTGCAACGTCCTTTGTTTGTTTATTGTGATCGATTTTGTAAAGCTAACATAAATTATTTGTTCTTTCTTACCAACTTTTTCGCTTCCCTTTAATTTTCTACCCCTTTAAAAACTACAAGAACAGCGCACGCACACAAAGACGGAATAGTCAAACATTATTGGCAGTTAGAAAGTATATATATATATATATATATATATATATATATATATATATATATATATATATATATATATATATGCCGGGGTTGTGACAGGAGCTGTTCTGCAGTGGTTATCACCTGACCTTGCATATCTTGTATTCGCTGTATGCTATGGCAGGAAAAACAATAAAATTCTACAATATTGAAGAGGTTGCGAATGAACAGAAAGTTGCTGACAGAGATTTTTGTAATTTAGATCAATGAAATATTTCCCCTGTATAATAAAGTAAGGGGTTCTTTTTGACGCCAGTTTTGCATTGGGTACATGATGCTAGACTCGCATTTTTGTAACCACACAAATATTACACAAGAACTATTATGAAAACCGTACTGCATAAAAAACTTGCAGCATTTGGTTACCAGTTATCGGCCGTTTCCTCGTAGGATGAAATTTTTTGTTATTTGAAAGCCCCACCTCGGCTTTTGCCGGGGGGGGGGGGGCACTAAATATAGCTATTGATATGGCCTAACGGCTGAAAGGGGTTCCTGGGACCATTCCACAAGTGATCCTCATCCGCGTGGTGGTACTTTGTGTTACCGGGTGTTTATCGCTTGTGTGATGTTCTGGTAGGGTACAACCACGGCCATCTCCAGTAAACTCTTGCGGAAACTTCTGGTTGCTCATCGACTTCTTTTGCATATTTGCAGTTCTACGGTCTGTTAATTTTTGTAAACTGGCTTTTGTTTTCCTTCGCGAACACTGGCTGTAAACTCTTTCGGAAATTTCTGGTTGCTCATTCACTTCTTTTGCATATGTGCAGTTTTACGGTCTGTTAATTTTTGTAAACTGGCTTTTGCTTTGCTTCGCGAACACTGGCTGTAAACTCTTGCGGAAACTTCTGGTAGTTCATCGACTTCTTTTGCATATTTGCAGTTTTACGGTCTGTAAATTT